TTTTTTTTTTTTTTTTTGAGACAGTCTCAAGCTATCCCCATGGGTAGAATGCCATGGCATTATAGCTCACAGTAACCTCCAACTCTGGCTCAAGTGTTCCTCTTGCCTCAGTTTTTCTATTTTTAGTAGAGATGGGGTCTAGCTTTTGCTCAGGCTGATCTTGAACTCGTGACCTCAAGCTGACCTCAAGCGGTCCACCCTCCTCAGCCTCCCAGAGTGCTAGGATTACAGGCGTGAGCCACTGTGCTCAGCCAACATCTTTTTTTCTTTATTAGGAATTTTTATTTATTTATATATTTATATATTTGATAGAAGAGTCTCACTTTATTGCCCTGGGTAGAATGTCATGGCATCATAGCTTATAGCAGCCTCAAACTCCTGAGCTCAAGTGATCCTCTTGTCTCAGCTTCCTGAATAGCTGGAATTATAGGCACCCACCACAACATAGGCTAGTTTTTCTATTTTTAGTAGAGACAGAGTCTCACTTTCCTCAAGCTGGTCTTGAACTCCTGAGTTGAAGTTTGAGATAGTCTCACTTTATTGCCCTGGGAAGAGTGTCGTGGCATCATAAGTCATAGCAACCGCAAGCTCCTGAGCTCAAGCTATCCTCTTATCTCAGCTTCCTGAATAGCTGGGACTACAGGCACCTACCACAACACGGGCTGTTTTTTCTATTTTTAGTAGAGACAGGGTCTCACTTTGCTCAAGTTGGCCTTGAACTCCTGAGCTAAAGCAATCCACCCACGTCAGCCTCCCAGAGTGCTAGGATTAAAGACATGAGCCATACTCCCAGCTTCCTTTATTAGAAAATTTTGACAGAGAACATCTTAGCATATCTTTTATTCACATTCATTTCCTTAAGCATGCATAGCTCTATTTAGAAGTAATTGTACCGCCCATGTAATTTTGCATTTTTTTTTCCTTTTCCTACTTTTTCCATGTATATAATCCTATTAAAATAGGTAATGGTGTTTGTGTGTTGTTGTAACATAAAGTAAGTCATTAAACCATTTTCCTTTAACTAAATGGTTTTAGAAAACATAGTGAACATAAACACAGAGTACTTGCATCATCTGTTTACTTTTTATGTGTGTGTCTACTTTCTTTCTAAAGGTAATTTCTGAAAGCAGAGGGTCTGAATCAAAGGATACAGGGTAGTTTTAATTACAGTTTTGTTTATCATAAATCAGAGAGAGCGCGAAAGAAGAAACAGTGACCGATCAGAAGATGGCTACCATTCGGATGGTGATTATGGCGAACATGACTATAGGCATGACATCAGTGATGAGAGGGAGAGCAAGACCATTATGCTGCGTGGACTTCCCATCACCATCACAGAGAGCGATGTAAGAGGAAACCACAGTTATAATGAACAGTCCATTTCAGAAGTAAATTACCATTAATATTTAGGCTCTGAGGGCGGCACTTGTGGCTCAGTAAGGATGACACTGGCTCCATGATACCAAGGCTGGCAGGTTCAAACCCAGCCCCGGCCAAAACTCCAACAACAACCAAAAAAAAAAAAGTATCCAGGCATTGTGGGAAGTGCCTGTAGTCCCAGCCACTCTGGAGGTTGCTGGAAGCTGTGATGCCACAGCACTCTACCAAGAGCAACAAAGTGAGACTCTGTCTCTAAAAATATATATACATATATATATTTTAAATATACATTTAGGCTTTGAAGATACATATTTATATATTTTATATATATATAGGCTTTGAAGCTCAACGCTGATTTTTTTGAAGTTCTTTATGGGCTGCAGGTTTTGTTTCTTCATTAGCTCTTACAAGGTAATCAATACATTTTATTGAATTGGTTACTTATTAGTAGAGGCTATATTGGTAAATACAGAACTCTCATAATCTGGCCTCCCTTTGATTTGTTGAAAATTATGCTATCCATTTGAAACCTCAGAGAGCTTGTTGAAGGAGAAGACTAAGGGCCAGGTACAGTGG